AAGGAAAGGGTGTGGTGGGGTTAATTAAAGTTAAAATAGAGGTTGATGAATTCATTTTTGGTGATGTATTAATTTTTTGTGTTAAGTATCTCGTCATTCGGTCTGCTTCCAAGTGGTCGATGATTCAGAGGCCGAAGTGGAGAGTTTTGTTCGGTGAGGACCTGAATGTCGAGCTGATCAGGCCGAGTTGGGGGCGGGTTAGGTGCCGAACTGGATTGATTGTTGAGTTTCGTAATTCTTTAGAGACCTGTAAGGAATCAATGTCAGAGGACCCGAGGTGGCTAACCCGGCGAGGTCGCTTCGATACTTAAGTCAGTATCTCATAGTAGACTGCGAGCTAAAAAATCATAAAGTATGAGAACTAGAATATGCTTACTTGCCCCCTCATGTCATTGGGGTTGGTGCCTTTATATAGGCATTGTTTGGTGTGGGCTTCACGCACCGCATCCGAGATTTTCGCGAGGTCATCTAAGTGGTCTGAGATTACCGGAGGTAACCGCCATGCACGTTGACCACCCTCCGGATCGTTCGGCACGTGGGCTAACTTTCAATGATCGTGGGAGTGTTAGGATATGCATGCCGAATTCGTCGGCGAGCACGTCTTGCAAGCCGCTAGGTTGGCACCTATGCCAGGCCGCCAGGTTGGCGCTTATGTCGGGCCGCTAGGTCGCGCTTGGGCTAGGCCGCCAGGTGGGATACCATCAACTTGGATAAGGCAAGTTGTTGCCTAAGTGGTTCTAGGTGTCACCTAGTTGTTCTGAGGTGCCATGTGTCACTATATCATTGGAGGGCCAAATCCGCCCTCATCATTTGCCCCCCACTCCCGAGCTGAAAGTAACTCAACGAAGGGAGTAGATTGCTTCTTTTGGCCTGAAATGACTAATTCGATGAGCTCGTAAGCGTCGATTCAATTCCTTAGGCTTTGGAAGCAACTCACAGTCCACTCTCCTTACCCTTGATTTTGCCCATGCTGAAGAGGCGACTTGGTCTTGGGTGTCCATGCCGAAGTCTTTTATCAGCTCGGCACCTTAGCCTTTGGGCTCTAGGAGCAACTCGCAGTCCACTCTCCTTACCCTTGGTTTTTCCCATGCCGAAGAGACGACTGGGTTTTATGTGGTGCCGAGGTCTTTTATCAGTTCGACACTTTGGAGTTACGGCTGCGCTGCATTAGCCTCGTTAGTGACGCCGGTCACCCACTCCTACAAAAAGCTATTGGGAGCTCGACCTACGAGGGCAACACTATTGACTTTAGGTCATCAGATCGTGCGGGAGCCCTTGAAGGCTCGACCGACAAGGGCGTCCATGCAGTCCGTTGGCTACCAATTCCCGCGAAAGCCACGAAGAGCTCATCTTGTAAAGGGTACCTCGTGAAGAGGACTGATGAGGCTTTACCTGAGTTGAAATAAAGTCGACAGAGCTGCTTAGTCTGTTGGCCATCAACTTCCTGCTTAGTCTTTGAGTTCATAAAAATGGAAATTAGAAAGTGAGAGCTTTTGTTTTTAAAAGGTGAGAACTTATCTTTCTGGAAGAAGAGGACTTAGCCTTTCAGAAGATAAGAACTTAGCTATTTGTAGCGTTTCCCACAGACGGCGCCAATTGATGAATCAATTTTTGGTGATGTATCAATTTTTTGTGCTAAGTACCTCGTCATTCGGTCTGCTTCCAAGTGGCTGATGACTCAGAGGCCAAAGTGGAGAATTTTGCTGGGTGAGGACCTGGATGCCGAGCTGACCCGGCCGAGTTGGGGGCAGGCTAGGTGCTGAGCTGATTGGTGGCGAGCTGGATTGATTGTTGAGCTTCGTAATTCTTTAGAGACCTGCAAGGAATCAATGTCAGAGGAGCCGGGGTGGCTAACCCGGCAAGGTCGCTCCGATGCTTAAGTTAGTATCTCATAGTAGACTGCGAGCTAAAAAATCATAAAATGTAAGAGCTAGAATATGCTTACTTGCCCCCCTCATGTCATTGGGGTTGGTGCCTTTATATAGGCATTGTTTGGCGTGGGCTTCACGCACCGCATTCGAGATTTTCGCGAGGAGATTCCCGGAGGTAACCGCCATGCACGTTGACCACCCTCTGGATCGTTCGGCACGTGGGCCAACTTCCAAGGATCGTGGGAGTGTTAGGATATGCATGCCGAATTCGTTGGCGAACACATCTTGCAGGCTGCTAGGTCAGTGCATGTGCTAGGCCGCCAGGTTGGTGCTCGTGCCGGGCCGCCAGGTCGCGCCTGGGCCAGGCTGCCAAGTCACGCATGGGCCAGGCCGCCAGGTGGGACACCATCAACTTAACTAAGGCAAGTTGTTGCCTAAGTGGTTCCGGGTATCACCAAGTTATTCCGAGGTACCATGTGTCACCATATCATTGGAGGGCCAAATCCACCCTCATCAGAGCTCATTAAGCAATGCCCAAATTAGAGGGTTAAACCTGATTTCTGGATACAACTATTGTTTGATTAAGGACCCATCTAATAGTGGGTCCCAATTCTCCAAACGTGGAACATATGGAAGTTATGGGGGCCCAGATCCATCTACGTTATTCTGTACCCATATAACTAAGATGTTCCCTTAAGTCTTAACAAAACATGCTTTAGCTACATCGTTTTCTCTTAGGGTGCGTTTGTTTGCATGTAAAAAGATGCCAACGATGTAAAAGAGTAAAAAATATAACTATTTTTTTACATTTAAAAATAACAAAAGGGAAATTTCTCGTGTGAAGGGACTACCGATTTAAATTTTAAACTATAAATAGATGAGGAATGATGTGGTTTCCGAGCCACCACGTAAGCTCACAGATAAAAAAGATTCCTGATGCACCAGGTGTCTTAGCTGGACCTCGCGTCATAAAAAGCGCGTAACGCAAGAATTATACTTTGAATGAGAATATTCTCACGTATTCACACGTGGTACGCTCCAAATCGGCCACGCCTCTGCTTAAAAAATGGGTTTACGGGTTTACTGTTTACCCATGATTTTACTTTTTTTTGTTTGTCCAAATTGTCTCAACCATTGGATCTATTAAAGGACAAGATAAAATGATTATGATCGTTCAGATTGAGATCCTGCTTATCAGTTTCTGCCACGTGTAAAGCAAAGTAGGTATATGGAAATGTAGAAAGAACCTAGGTCCGCTTGCTCGGATAAAACCATACCGAATGGAGAGGTGGTGAGACTTCACTTGGGATGGAGCACAGAGAGATCCATAGAAAATTAATGCAGTGAGTACTGAGTAGTGACTAATGAGAGAGAGAGAGAGACCCAGACTGTGAAGAGTGAAGACTGTCAGAGAGAAGAGAAGTAAAGGACGTGGAAAAATACAAAGACAGGTAACTAGTTTTGTAATACCCACTTGCTCTTTCCTCCGTCGTCAAGTCCAATAACTGACAACTACATGCCAAACATTTCTCACAGCCCACTAAACCCTAACCTAGCTACTGCCTAGTAGCTATTCTCTTTCTACTATCCTCTTTACAGTTTTCAGTCCTGCTCTCTCATTATTCAACCCTCCATTGATTGATCTGTTGCTCTCCTGAACAGTGCTAAACTGTTAATGGAAGGAAACCCTAAAACTTCTCATGACTCATTTGATTAAAGATTCTATCCGTTAATAGTATCTACTTTGGGTCTTTGTGTTTTATCTTGACAATAAGCAGGGACCATTTGGGTCAGTAAAGAGTGATTGCTTATACAGAAAAAAAATGTCTTTCCTTCAACCATCATCCCCTTGGACCATCATGTGAGAGTGAGACTACTTTAGAATCAATGTTTCCTACACAAAGTATCATACATTTTGGATTTGATATGGACAAGGTATGAAGCACCTTGGATCTCAATATAATATAAACTGTTCAGAGGTTTACACATGCTCACTGACAAAAGGACAGCAGAAACCACCTCAATGCCTTGTGTTTCTTCCCTAGATCTCCTATTCTATGTGAAGATCTTGGCTCAAATAAGGGTTTCATGGTTCCTTTCATCTATGGATCTATGGTGATGAGTGTGACTTGAGAGAGAGAGAGAGGAACAATGAAAATTTGAAACCCACCATCTAATCCATACCCAAATGTTATTATGAGAACCCAATTATTCCCCTTGATAAACAAAAATCTCAAAGGAACTAAACATAAAGGATATTTAACAAATGATTTTGTTCTACCTCATAGATGTAATAGTTTCACTGGCTTTGGTGTTTGTCCAAGCAAGGGACAAGGCCACCTTTAATCATGTAATATTGCTGCCTTTTTCTCCCAAACTGGGTCCTATAATTTTCGCCATCTTATGAAACCTTTGGGCTTTGGAATGGTTTAGACCAATGACTTGGGAGTTTGTCATCTCTTGGGAACAATCCACTTACGAAGCATTTCAAATGGTCATACAAGGAATGGATTCCAACACATATGGTTTTGGCCACTAGATCCAAATTCTTGTCTTATAGGCTCAACAACCTCCTCTGTGAGATCTAGCACAGGGGATTTTTAGCTGCAGTGCAAGTGGGTCTTCTGGTTAGAACCAGATTCATGACATCAAGATAGATATGAGGATCAAAGTATTAAGAATGAGATGTTCAAGCAAAAGAGTGACCAATCCCTCAAATCATTCGTGTAATGGGGTGGAGTTGTTTTTTTAATTGAACAACCACTTATTATGGTGCTCTTTCTTTTGCAACAAGACATTGATTAGGGTATAGCCACTTTACCAAAAACTAAAATAGGAGGAAAGAGAGAACAAATTTGGATTATAAAGTACAGACTAATGGTGTGGTGAGTTATTTATTTACTTTATAAAATTGAGACCTCTGCTCCCATGTGTACGCTTGTTGGGCCAAGAGTGAGACACAGAGATTTACTTTGTTATTTTATTTTAAAATTTTTGGAACAATCACTGATCCATCAGATTAATAAGTGATTCAAGGATAACACATGAAGAAAGAGAAATTAATAAGCTTTAATATCTTTGTTTAGAAGCTATAAGAAGAGAATCAAATGGCAATGTGTTCTGAGTTTTGACTACTGGAAAAAGGAAACACAGTAAACAAGGAAAAAAAGAAACGAAAAGGGCGTCGTAAGGGTAATTATGAGATAGAAAAGGAAAAACCAGGGCTCCCTCTTCCTTTTCCCCTCTCTTTCTCTCCCTCAGTCTCTCTCTCTCTCTCTCTGACTCTCTCTGTACATTTATTTAGAAGAACAATGCAGATCTTTGCCAGTTTAAAGAAGGGCTCACGAGGAACAAGAAAAAAAACCCAAACCCGCATTCCTTACATCTCTCCTTTCATGACCTGGGAGATGATAAAGTGATCTGAACAAGCTTTCTCAACTGGCCATTCCCTTCTTCGGCTCAAGTTAATAGTCCCCCGTTCCCACCATCTTCCCCTCCTCTCCTAGCGATAAGACCGGTGGGTAATAAACATGCAACCTTACTGGGTTGTTTTTTCAGTGAACCTCATCACTCCCTGAGAAGCTGTAAACACAAAAAGAGCAATCCAAATCATTCTTTTATACAATTGTTTCTCAAACCAGGAATTGTAGCCATTCTTTCATATTGGAATTTTGTCTGCAAAACTCAAGTAAGAAATGAGGAAGCATGGATGGCAACTTCCCTACCATCCTCTTCAGGTACTTTTTAGTTTTTATTGATACTTTCGCCTTTGTTTCTCGTTTCTGTGCTCACTTCTGTTTCTGCAGGTGGTCGCCGTGGCTGTTTTTCTAGCGTTGGGTTTTGCTTTTTATGTCTTTTTCGCCCCTTTCGTCGGAGGGAAGGTGTTTCAGTACGTTGTGATGGGGCTTTATACTCCCCTTGTAAGTCATCTCTCAATCTTTCTTCTATATCTTCCTTATAACTGTTCATAATGTTCATCATCATTTCCATTTTCATCTTCATCATCTTATTCTTTCGACAGTGCTGAGATCTGCATGATGTGTTCTTGTTTGCTTGGTTTTTAATTCTTGTGTTGAGCTTGATCCTTCTGACCTTGGTCATGAAGGTTTCTTTTTTTATTTTCCTTTTCTTTCTATTTCATACTCCTGTTTTACTTTCCACTTTGAACCTTCTCATCTCCCCATGAACTTGTGACCTTTCCTTGTGTTGGAAGAAGCGCCGTTTGTGCTCTTGCATTTTCTTTATCTTCGGGAGTCTGATGTTGTGTCCTAGTTTATGGATTTGAACTTAAACCAATCGACAAATATGCATTCTGTCACTGCTTTAGGCAAAGCCTGGGATATTATAATTTCCTAAGTGAGCACTGAATCTTGGGTCCTTTGTATTCCTCTCCTCCCTGTTGGTCTTCGGAACTACATGATTGTCTCTGGAAATGTACGATGCTTGGAAAAGAAAGTCTTCTTGCCTTCTCGGAGAAGCTTTCGTTTAAAACTATCTTAAGTTTCAACGCAGAGCGGTAGAGGTACCGACTCTTTGTATGTTTATTTATGTCAAGGTCCTATGAGCTTTTAATGGATTTGAACAAAGATTTCTCTGTGCATCCAGTTTTAGCTTTTAACTTAATATCTTTAGTATATGCAGAACTCAATAACCAATGCATCTTATAGTGTGTAACTAGGAAGGAGGTAGAGTTCATAATGCTAATGCACATCCCCTCCTTACCGTAATATTATGTAATAGGTGGCTGTAGCATCAATTTGACTTTCTTTCTTGATGGCAATATCTTGGATTGCAATGTAAAAAGTGCATAATTTGGATCAAACCACCAAAATAACTTGCTTTCTTTTGGAGCCATAAAGAGTTGTTGACCTAAAAAGATACATTCGGTTTATTGGATAGTTAGTGTTGTCAACTTGGTGTAATATTGAATATTCTGTGCTGTGGAGGAATATCCCATTTACTAGATGGTCTGGCACTTGGATGGTGGATTGTACTGAAATTTGGAAGTTCCATTTTTGCATAGCATGGCCAACTTTTGCCTCACACTGCATGGGCGCAATATGGTACATGCGTTTCTTAGAGCAGTTTACTATGAGAGAAATTTTCATGGACCACTTGTAGTATGGATAAATGTCTTTTAGGATTTCTTCAACAAATATATGACTAGGTTTGATCTAAAATCTGGTTATATTTAAATGTGTAATATGAACATACTAAAACCAATGTACTCCACAGTTGTAAGGGCATTCAGGGTGTTATTTGTTTATTTAATACGAGTGTGGCAGATGAAGTGGGTATCAAGTTCTTCAGTATTGTGGTACCAACAACACTGCAGGTGAGGTTATATAAAATGGGTGTAAGAACTGATCTACCCCTATGGGTGAGACTGTTCAGCAATCAAGAAACAAAACATCCACGGAATGAACATGGCTGAGATGGAGTGCTGATAAAAAAAAAAACTTGGCTGAGATGGAGTAATGGATAATGGGCAATATGACGGATAAACTCAAATTGAAATCTATGGGCAGCTCTAATGAGTGACAAGATGAGGAAAAGTAAGCTAAGATGGTTTGGCCATGCATTGGCACCAGCAAGGAAAGGAATGTGACATTTTGGAGTATCTTGAAGGCTCTAAAGGTATGGAAGACAGGTGGATATGGCCTTAGACTGAGTGTAAGGCAGTGCAATATTTTATGGATGACCTTAGGTAGTTGGGATAATACCTAGTTGAATTGACTAGACATGTATGCATGACCATTTGTTTGGTGTATTTTGTACTATATATTCTGTAGGTGTTTGACAGATTTATCAGGTTCACTTTAGCTTTAAAATCCCATAAATTAGGGTGTTTTGGTGTCAGATTTTTCAGTTCAATGATATAAATCTCTTGCTGGCCAATTTTCATTTGCCTCCTGTATGCCACATGTGAAATGGGAAGGAACAAAATACAGGATGACATTCTTCCTGTTCACTGATGCATCATATATGCATTCTTCTGTGATATTATATTAGATTGCATTGTCAATCTCCTTAGGTAGTAGCAAGGCACAAGTACGCTGATGAGGGCGGATTTGGCCCTCCAGTGAAATTGTGACACTTGGCACCTCATGCAAACCAAGTGTAGCCTCTTGACAACTGGGCAGCTCGGGCAGCTCGGCACAGCTCGGCATAGCTCGGGGAGCTCGGTATAGCTAGGGTCAGCTCGGCATAGGAAGCTCGCCACAGGCAGCCTGGCGTCTTACGAAGAGCTTGCCACTTAGGGGCAGCTCGGCACTTACAGGTAGCTCGGCATAGGCAACTGGCCACTCCGCAGGCAGCCTGGCGTCTTACGAAGAGCTCGCCACTTAGGGGCAGCTCGGCACTTATAGGTAGCTCGGCATAGGTAGTTCGGCACTTAGGGGCAGCTCGGCGTATTGCAGGAAGATCTCCTGCCTGACAACCGTACCTGACAGATCCGGAGGCCTGCGCCCACGTCTCTCGCTAGGCGGCGCAGTGCCTGCTAGTCCTGAGAGCTGTCCCTTGACTGGCAGAGCCGTACTCTGCAGCAGCCGCCTGCACCCGCCACCTCAGCTCTGGCAGTAACGGCTGNTGAGAGCTGTCCCTTGACTGGCAGAGCCGTACTCTGCAGCAGCCGCCTGCACCCGCCACCTCAGCTCTGGCAGTAACGGCTGCGGCAGATAGACAAAGGCAGTTACGCCTAACTTGACAGAGGCTGTTACACCTGATTTGACAAGACACCACTATATAAGGACTCCGACCCCCAAAAGACAAGGAGGAGAGGATGAAAAAATGGAGGTAATCCTTGYTCTCTAGCTCTCTCATTTCTCTCCAAGCTCCCTACAATCATAATGCTAACTTAGGCATCGGAGAGTCCCCGTCGG